ATTCCACCCGATCCTGAACCCTCAAACTTGGAAGGAGCTATGGAGGAGCTAACGATAATCTCAAACGAAATATGGGTAACGCCCGAGGCAGTGTTTGGAAAGAACCCGCGACTTGTGTTTCGTAATAATGATGGGCACAAGATAGGAACGAGCTGGGAGGACTGGAAAGCCGAAGGGTCTGAAGAGGCCATGTTCTTCGTTTACGAAGGGAAGATCTCGGGTGTTCGGTACAAAGCGACAGAGTTACCAGGAGAGTGGGTACTGCCGTGGCTGGAGTCATCGAGTAGCCGACCAATCCAGTTCATGAACGAGAAAGGACATGTCATCAGAACGAAGCGAAGAAGGTGGCAGGAAGGCAAGGAGGGATGTTTCTTTGTGTATTTGGAAGATGCCGCTTTCTACTTGGCAGTGGAGCTGCCATCAGCTGATGAATGAAGCAGCATGGCTATTCAAACCTTGAATTAGCCTCCTCCATGAGCCAGGCATTTTGACTAAGTTTCTCCACAGACAACCTTTGAGCCGGATCATGGCACAGAAGTAAAAGTAGTATCGTCGTTAGGTTTGGACGAATGCTCACTGGTAACTGTTCCAGCCCTTCATCTTTCCCATGTCTCAGCTGAGCGATTTGGTCAGAGTAATGGGATCGAACTTGCTCATCACTTTTGTGACATCCTCCCTCCATGATCGAGAACCCATCTGTCAAGATAAAATAGAGCTACTCTCTTAATACGCAACGTCTATAGTTTGGAAGACGTAATGCTTACCGTCAAGCCTAATTGCCAACTGTCAACCAGGAAGGGCAAGACAGTGCTGGCGTTTTTTCCAATTAGTTCCGGCGGTAAAGGGGTCCCGCGTGGAAAATCCCTCCTAGTGAAGGCAGCACCTTCACTGGGCTGAAAGGCGTACCCGAGATCGATGATTTGGACTTGTCCTACACCATAACCAATATCAACAGGCTCGGTCACTCGTTCGGGGAGGAGACGTGAAGTTGGAGCTCCGTCTTTCCGGCAAATTCGATGCTCAAGAGGCTCCTGTTCCAGTAGGCGCTCGATATCTGAATCGAGAGGCGGCGGAAGAACAACGTTTCCTGGGTGGATGTCTACAGAGGTAAGTCAAGGTAAGATACGAGTTCCAGGGAGGAGTATTTGCCTACCCCCGTGCACGATTCTAGCACGATGCAAATCAGCAATACCTCGTATGAGGTGGCGTACACATTGCATACGTCTATCGATGCTCAACGGGGCAGGGCTTTGGGGGTGCTCGCATGGTGTAGAAACTCGCCGAAGGTCTACGCCCGTCGTTGGGTAGACGATAGCATCAAACAGGATGCTCGGGGTGTTGCGACCTCCTTTGGATAAGTGATGCGGGATTGTAAAGGAATCTGTGATGGTAGATACGTTTGGACTGAAGCAATGTTCCTTCACAAACTGACAGATGGTCAGTTCACGACGGCTTGGCCGAGATATGAATTTCAGAGTCAAGTATTTGCTGACATGAGATGTAAGCTCTATGTAAATATTAAACAGAGATCTACTTACTTAGTGACTGGATCCTTTGTTAACCAACTCCAATCTCCTAGTCTTCGAAGCAGCTTATATTTATGGCAAAAGTCGTTCAAGTATACCACGGGCTGGACACACCCAGCCCACCGCTCAAGAAGATATTGGTCGCGCCAGAAATGGCCTCCATGAGTGAAGGGGAGATGTTGCTTGTAAAGACTGGCCCGCTGCATCGCGAAGGCCAAGCAGGGGCTGCTGTTGTCCGTAAGGACAAGGTTGAAAGGAAGCGGGTTCCAGGATTTGGAACTGATGGCCTCCGGTCCGGAGAAACCTCTGTACCGTTGACACCACGTGACTGACCACGACCCTGCCGCTTGCCTGCTCCCTAAATAGACAAGGCGCTGCACCCAAGCAACGCTGGTTGACCGCCACTTTGCCCATGGGTTGATACATATCAAATTGAGAAGTTGGAACAGTGGACTTCATTGTGCTGCCAAGGTTGTACTTGCCCTGGAGACGGCAGGAGTCTGAAGTCCGTTGTGCGGACGTGGGTCGAAATGCGGCCAGCATTTGAAGGATGTGGGGCCGGCCAGCAGCGGAGGAACCCCATGCCCAACCTCACTCGTCCTCTTCTGCAAGCACAAGCCAATCCTCGTTCATGGGTTGTGGGAGAACTGTTGGGGTCAGAGAAACATAAGGGGATGGAGGTTGTGCGTGTGTCGCTAGCGCTAGCGTGCGATCTGTCAAGCGTTTTTAATCTTGTATATCGTGAACCTGAGCTAGAGCTTCGAGGTTGACAGCCCAACAGGGACAATGGTGCATGGTTACTCATGTAAAAACAATCGCTAAAGGCACATGCGGATTAAGAAACTGCCTTAGTGCCTGCAGCTCGCAGCCCGCCCCGGAAGCACGCTAACCCCCCACCCCGACGGGCTGTACCGTATCAAGGGCCCTGAAGCCGTCTCGTATATAGGTGTCAGACCATGTGCTGTCAAATCAAACAGGATATCTGGAGCACGAGTACATTCCATGCTCATATTTTGGACTAGTACACTCCCTATAAATGACTTCAAAGTTCACCCCGGAACGGCCATACCTCTATGTATCCCTCAAAGGCATCCCCTACACAGTATCTCCCAAACAAAGGGTAGGCTGGCCATATGTGACCTGGTCATTTAAGCGAGTGGTACTGGCTAATTTAGGGCTGGTCCTTATGGACCAATCACCTCTGTATTTGCACCAACAATCCTGTTTGGCGTCATGTTCCTAGAGTCCTTGACTGGACACGCCTTAAGCGTTTCAGCCTGGGGTGTAGAGTGATTCTCGCCTGTGATGTCCTTCGGGCTGATATTTCCCACGGAGCCCGGATGCACTCTAGCTATACGGTTTCCGCGATGGATAGAACTGGCTGACGCTTTCCTCTAAGCCACGGGATGGACCCTTTCCTCCAGAGGACTAGATTGAAGGGTTTGCAAAAGCAACATCTGGTTCTTCTACTTGAGCACTTCCATGCACACTGGCATTCAAGACGCGACGGGGCGCCGTAAGCTATTGCTAGAGCCCCGCCAATTGGGTTGAGGCCAGACTGCAATTAGAAAACTCTCGTATTGTAAAGTCAAGCACTAGACGAGGGCCGAGCGGTTGTGAAGTCGTTGAAGCTGCTTCACGGGCCCCAAGCATTCGCAGTAGGAGTAATGGGGTTGGCTATACTGTGACCTCCGGTTCAATGCAGAGTACGGCCCGCTGGAACCAAGGCCAGTATGTGCCCTCGATCCAGGACATCAAGAACTGCAGCACGCAGACAATCTGGTATACTCCCAGTGGTTCACTTGTCGAGCCAATCATCTGATTCGACCACAATGTCTGCCGTCTCACATGTTAGTCTTTCCCCGGCACCAAGGGGGAGGGAGTGGCTGAAACAGAGGCAGGATTTGCCGTCCCAATGCCATGGCTTACCACGCAATCTCCGTCTCTCGTGCTCGCAACGAACAACCAGTCATTTCCTTGGACGATGATGCCGGGAAGGAAATCGATAGGTGGTAACCGCGAAACGGTGCCAGCTGTGAGAAGATCCAGCATGCGCCATTGGTTTGCGTGCCAGGTCAGAAGCTGGGCCTCGGCGATCGATAGGCCTTCGCCCTGGAGCTTCGTCTCGATGCTGAGGCCGATCGGATGCGTCCTCAAGGCGCTGTACTCAGTGTGGTTGATGGACGGCGTTTCGGTCGGGACCAATTTGTCAATGGCTTTGGCGGCGGCACCCTTTGGTTCGATGCAGAGGCAGAAGTCGACCTTTCGAGAGGAGCTTGTCTGAACGAGGTCTGGTAGGATGCTCGCGCTCGTGCTAAGAAACGAGGCAAATAGACGTCAAAATTCCACTCCCGAGATGATTGACGGGGCGGCAACGACGGGGGATCAATACGCACCATGGAACCATGTAAACGAGTTGCCCATCTGCTTGGTAGAACTCGGGTGCTGCTAGGTTGATGACGCGGTGATGGAGGCTGGTGTTCCAGGCACCCTCGTCGAACTCGTAGTCGCGACACATCTTGGCCCTGGCCACCATCTCCGCCACCTGGTGCGTCGTGGGAGTCGGTCCGAAAGCGCGGCGCTGCGAGCCACCGGTCGAGCCAACGGGGGCGTCGTCAAAGTAGAGCGAATGTTTGATTTCTTCCATGTCAGGATATTTCTTTTTCGCCTCGTGGATGTTTTCCTGCGCGCGCAGTGAAGGATTAGCCCGAGGTTCCAAGCAGGGAGGGAAGAGAAGCCTGGGGACTCGACGTCCCCACGGGATAGCGTGTCACCTTTTCCAGCCCGTCAATGACGCCCACTCCCTTGGAATACTCCCGTATTTGCTTCCATGTCTCCCGCAATGACGAGGGGACATTGACGCTCATGTCAAAGTGCCTCGTCCTGTGGGGGTTTCCATTTGTTCTCCTCCGTCTCTTAGTCGGTGATCTGGACCCCGCGGAGCTACCCGAGACCTGGCTACTGGCCTCGCTCAGGGCCGGTATCCTCTGCGGGAGGGACGCCCTTGGTGTGGCTTCCAGGCTGTTGTCGAAGATGTGGCCGTCGGACGAGGTTGAGGCTGTGTCCGATCCGTTGTCATGGTGTAACCTTTTGAGTGGGGATGATGGTGCTATGTCGGCAGACTTGGGCGGCGTGAGAAGTCGACGGCGCTTTGTCGTCCTCTCCAGAAAAAGTGGCGGGGCGGTTTGTGCGTCGGCGGGAGAAGGCTCCTCGATATTGCAAGGCAGTGATTCGAGCCAAGTGTTGACAAGACTGTCGAGTCTGTCGTCAGGGCAGCAGACGAAAGCGCTCATTGGGAGCAGCAGCAAGTGAAGAGGGTTCGGCTTCGACGTCCATGTCTGGCTATTCGCTGCTGTCATGTGCTAAAGGCGCGGCGTCGAGGCATAGATTGGTGGCTCGAAGGAAGGGTTGCGAGCCAAGCTCAGATGAAATATGCCGCGGTGGGATGTCATTCTGTCGCATGGAAAGCCCAAAAGGTACGTTATGGATTGTCATAGCAACCAACCCGAAATGGATGCATCAGCCAAAGCAGCCGATTAGATCACCCCTGTCGCTGGAGGAAGGGACTCCTTGGTGCAGTTAGTCAGCAGAAGCTACAAAACGTAGCCCTGTGGGGACGGTGCCGACCAGACTAAGCCAGATACAACAGCACTTACCCACCTAATGCAGCTGGTTTTGTCGCATCGCCCCCTTTTCATCCTAATGCGTGGGGCACACACTGCTTGGGTAGGTACCGAATACGTGCATAATGGACACAGCCCCGCGTCCTCAGTGCGCGACGAACCGCACCTCTTCTAGGAAAACTTCAGGGCCTGTCACAACCCAAGGATGCCCGGATTGGTGACTGGTGTCGGGTAGTAGTCGTGCTTTGTCGCCGGATGTTGGCCACTCACCGATGGAATGACTTTGCCAGTGAGCGCGGAAGGGAACGATGGGCCGGTTGTGAGATGTGGATCAGGTTGGAAACGCACCCAGAGGAGCAGCAGGGCGTTTGGGCGCGTTGGAGGAACCCAGTCCGTGTTTCCCAAGAGTCCTCCTCCTCCTCCTCCTTCAGCAACTAGGTAGTCACGTAATCGCGCGTTTTCTTGGCAACGGCCGACTGCGTCTCCCTACTGCCTAGACTTGTCTTCGAGAAGCAGCGTCCACTACAAAACGCACCGCGTGCCTCCCGCAAGTTTACCTTTTTTCTGCTACTGCCTTTCAATCCCACTCCGATCACGGTTCTTGCTACAGCTATCCAGCTTTAATCGATTAATATTGCAAATGGTCTTCCTCCGCTTCATGCAGTAAATATTAACCAACCAACCGTTGCCCTCGCGAGCCTCCGGCTTCCCGTTACATCGAAAAAGCAATGTAAAACATGAATCCCCCGCGATTGCACGTTGGCCGAAACGTTACCAGCCAGAAAGAGAACCCTATACTTCACGATTCTTCGTATCATGATGACGGATTCTCTGGCGAGCCGTGGTCGAGGGATTGGGCGGCCGGCCATATTCCTCCGTGACCTATATTCCTCGCCTTGTCGAGCTCCAAGGGAGGATGGTGTTATAAGATAAGAGAACGAGAACCTCAATACGCACTACCTTCTACCAATAGCTGAGTATCAAAGGAGATGGCCGAGCATCCACAAGCGCCGTGATGCTCGAGCTAACTGCTCCTGAACGTATCGCCGTCCACGAAACGATGAACGCTGCTGATCGCGTCCAGTCGTAGGTGACTGTCGTACAGAGTACGAATAAGCGAGTCAAGAAGGAAGACTCATTGCATTATGCAGTAAGAGCATCATGCAGTATGAGCAAAAAGAGTACCGGGGCAGTTAGGTAGGTCCGCGGCCTTTCTACACGACGAGCAACAGGCCACACGCGGCTTTCGCTATAACAAAGGAGATAGTCTCCTCCTTGCTTTGCGGCTTCCCGCTTAAGCTCAGCGCGATCCCCAGCGAGAATGGCTTTGTTCACAACAGGAGAGTTCTCAAATCACTAACCATAGATATGCCAGACTTAGCGGCACACGCGACTGGAATGACAACAACTCGAGTGACTTATAATTGTTTTTGCAAAAGCCGGGCTTGTCTCGATGGATAGGGATTCCAGCTTAGTTAACATTCTCGTCAGCAACCCGTCAATTCTTCAAGGATCCAGGTTGGCAATTGTAACAGCAACGGCCTTCCAATGTAGCCAGAGAATCTCGATCCTCTCCAAGACACTACGCTTTATCTTACAGAGCCCCTTAAGCGACAGATTCTTGACAACTGATGATTTTAGTACAACTCAATGCCTGCGACCACGGTACGCCAGTCAGTACCAACATAGATACAATCGACCTCTTAAGTATTAGAAACCGATACCTTCCAAGATAAGCCTTACTTCTATTAGGATTAATCTGAGTCCTCTCCTTAATTATACTTCCCCTTACCTATCTTCGATTCCCACGAAACCTACACTATTTAAGAGCTAAAAACAAGGGCTATTACTTCGATCCATTACTCGATCCGACATCTCCTTCTCGAGATACAACCACTTTCCTCTCTCCTTTATTCTTATCCCTTCATCCATTTATCTCTCTATCAACTCTTCATCCCATAACCTAGAACTACCTTCGGTCGTTGCCTGAAACCTCCCTCAACATTAAGTATTATAAGAGACTACGCCGCGCCAATTTTGGCTGTCACGGCCAGCGCTGCTTTTTCCTTCTCGATCACGGTGTTTCTCCCGATGAGCCTCGGGTTTTGCGATACAGGTGGACGGGGGACTCTTTGTGAGTCAAAACCGCCGTGAATGCACCTTCTACCACACTGACATGATCCGAGTGTCGCCATCTCTGAGCTTCCTCCACCAGTTATCTTAGTGGAACTTGAGAAATGCCCGTTCACGCCAACACGTACTCAACGGCTGAGGAGACTTGTCGTGGCGGAATGTGACTCTGATACGAGACTCCAGATAATCCGGGGCCGGTTGCGGCAAGACATCAGAGTTCCTCAGGTTGATGTTGAATTCCTGTTTGCAAACCCATCAGCTCTTCAAGACCTCAGGGATACTATAGCCCCTCAGCTGAGAGCTAGGATTGAAGCGCTGATTGAGCAATAAACTATGCTCAACCGTGTTCACTGTGCTCACTCATGCGGCCGGCCGCTGGCGGAGCCGAAAAAGGACCTCCACACCTTTGCTGGCATCCCGGAAGAGAGGTTGGCAGCCGCCCGAAAGATTGCGCCCACCTTTGCATTCATATCAGCCTCTATTGCAAAGCTCGACCGGCTCTTGAGGGCTTCGATTCTATGCGAACTCATGTTCCGTATCTATAAGCTCGAATCGGAGGTCTGGCTAGATGAGGCACTCATAAGTAACCTGTGAATGGCCTTTGAGAAGACACACAGCCATCTTTCGAATATGGAGCACAGTACACTACGGTAACGTTAGCGCTACACCACTGATGACGCCTGCTAGCCAGCTTATCTCATAGACAACTTTCGTTCTCTGCAATATAAATGTGTATGTTTTCTAGAGCAAGGCCAATGTAGTAAGAAGGGGACTTTGCGACCTGCGTCTCAGGCCGAAGTCTGGGCGCTCTCAATCGGCTTCTGTGTGGCTGACCCTGATGTAAGATATCAGATCCAAATGGGGACAAATCGGATGGGCCATCCGGATTCATGACCCGTCTTCCAACTCTACAAAACTGCTTGGCTTACGCTGTCTATCCATCTGACAACGTTCTACGAGACCAGGAAGGTTTCTGTCAAACTTCCAAGAACTCAAAGATCCTTTTCACGGCCATCTCGTCACCCTCCACCGTCCCGCTCAAATCCGGGGTTACCCAACCATCTGTCCATCTGCCACCAAAGTCAACGATCCAAGCATGGTCGGTGTCGCGATGAATCAGTACGTTCGATGCCTTGCCATCGCCCCACACGACTCCGATTTGATGCAACAGGCGGACAGTCTCCTGGACCTGCAAAGCCCACTTCTGGCGACGATCCTTTACAATGTCAGAAATCGCCTCGATATTTCGCAGTGTCGTAAGCTCCCAGGTAGCCGAAACCGGGATAAACTCCTCCACGGACCCAACGGCTCTCTCGTCGTCGGATACTTCAATGAGACCGAGCAGTTTCGGGACGCGGATGGTGGCTGCATATGGAGAGGTAGTGATCTTCCAGAGGCACTCAAGCTCCCTTTGCGCGGCTTCCCGACATTTGTCGTCTCCCGCCTTGGAGCACATCTCGTTCCCTTCAATCGCCACACGTGCAATGTAGCCGTTGTAGAGGATGTCCTCGAGGACTCGAATGTCCTTGGTGGAGAATCTTGGTAAATTGAAGTCTTGATCAACGTTGAGTTGGAACGGGCGGCCGAATGGGTCAAGAGAGGCGTCATCATGCGTGCCATTGCTCTCACTGCGAATGAGCTCTGCCTTGCCGTTCAAACTTCGAAAGCAAAAGGCGAATTCGTCTGGAAAGAGGAGAGTATGAAGATCGGTCGAGAGAGTAGCGCCGGGCGCAGGTGGCGGGGCGAGTTGATCAAATATTGGCCTTCCCACCTCAACGATGGCATCTAGGATCTCGTCTGAAAGCGTGTCCGCTTAATCGTCATCCTCGGCATCGCAAGCGACATTGTATCTCTCGATGAATGAATTCTCGATCGGAGGGGGAGCAGTGCCCGGAGGAGACTGGTCGAGGTGCACGACAAGGCGTGCGCTGTTCCAGCGGATGTGCAAGGAGACGCGCTCACTACATCCGCTTGATGTTTTCTTGAGGTGATGGATGCTCATCAGTTTGACGGCTGTTGGATCATGGACGAATGAAAAGGTGTGAAGCTGGCTCACGGTGAGCAGAGGTTGGGGAATCGAGAAGCAGGTGGGGTTGAAGTGATCTGTGGAAAATGGGTGGCCGGTTATCCGTTGCTGCGTGGTTGGTTTAGGCGCCTGCCACTGGAGCTCTGGCGCTCTTAAACCCAATAAAACAGTAGTAACCAACTATCCAACTTGTGCATTCTGGCAAGCCTTGAGTCTGGCTTCCTCCACCGGCAGAACCTAACTGCTTTTCTTGTTTTTCTTCTTCTCTCTGACCACCAACGGCGCCAGCCCAACAGCCGGAAACTCAACCTCGGGCTCCCTAGCCAAGACCAAAGCCCCCGCCTCCGCCGGCGCCACCACGGGCCGCGCCGGTAGCTTGGGCCTCCCAACGACACCCTCGTCGATATCCTCAGCGCGAGGGTAGCGGCCCTCGGGCCCGTAGAGCTTCCCCTCGAGGTAGCGGTGGGAGGCGGCCTGGGCGATGGTGGTCCAGTTCTTGGGGTTGTAGCGCGGGTTCGAGGTGTAGGGCTTGACGGCCGAGTTGAGGCGGCCCTGGGTGCCGTCGACCGTCTTGTCGAGCCAGCGCTTGGCCTTTTTGCTGCCGAAGAGCTTGAGGGCTGGGGCCTTGGCTTGTGGGAAGTTTGCTGGGGGACAGTCGACGGGGGTGCGGGGCCAGTCTTCTAGGGCAATGGAGGAGGAGGAGTAGGAGGAGCCGGCGTGGGTGGTGTTGGAGATGAGGTCCGGGGGCGTGGGAGTCACGGCTCGGGAGGGCGGCAGCGGGATCGAGCAGGGATCTCTGTTGAGAGAGGATATTGACGAGCGGCTCGGTGGTGTGACTGACAAGTGAGAGGATGATGCTCTTGGGTTGAGGTAGTGTGTAGTAGTGACTAGAGCGGTCATCGTAGGATCGTCGGGGAGCTCGCGGAGGGTGGGGTTCTCCTGCACGGGACTCGCCGGCATTTCAACGGCGATGCAGGGAGGCACCTCGAGCTCTGCTATGTGGTGTTGGTGCTGTTGGCGCCGTGGGCGAGGGGGTAGAGGTGGTGCTTGCTCATATTGAGCATGTGGTCGATGAGACCGGGGGTGGTGAGGGTATCGGTATTGGGGATGGTGTTGCTGACAGTAATAAGGATGGCGGTCTTGATGCTGAGAGTGCCGGTGGTGACCGGTGTAACTCTGAGCCATTGTAGCCATGGCTGATGGAGGAACGTCGCCAGGATCAAGACGACGGCTCGATGACTTGGTGATGGTCGGTTTTATCGGCTTCTTCAACAGCTTCTTGACAAAAGTTGTACGACAGATGGATAAAAAAAACGAAGAAAGTCCTAGGCCGTATTTAAAGAACAGGAACGACTGCTTTCTTCTACCAACAAGCGGGATGGAGGGGGGCCAGGGTTGGTGATCCTCGGCCATCTACTCCCAAGCCCAAGGCACTGTCAAACCATCCGAGACTCCTCTGATTGGCGAGCTCGCACTCGAGAACAAGACCCGACAGGGTCCACGACGGAAAAAGAGGGGACGGAGAAAGCTTGACCAGGCCTTGCCGAGGATACCTTGACAGGGGTCTTCTGAAAATAGCATCATCGTCCTGGCTTCTAGTCTGCCAATCGCTCGCTCTACAGCTCGAAGGGGACCTGTCTCTCGTCAGGGGCTGTCTCCAGCTCCAGCCCCAACGTTTCCAACGTCTCAATGGCGTCGTTTGCAAGTTGCACAGGGCCAGTCTTCGTCCGTACAAGCTCCAGCGCAAACGCTCTCGGTCGAATGGCCACCGCCTCTCGACCGCCGTCGTCTCCGACAATGAGGTCAAAGTGGTCAACGGCGAGGTAGTTATAGGTCGCTCGATCCGCCAGTAGCCAAGAGAGACACGTCCCATCCCGCCATGCCAGCTCCCCATCGAGCTTCTCGGCCTCATCGTCCGTAAAGGGCGGCATGGCTGCCCTCCAGGCCTCAGTCGTGCCGCCGTTCCTTTCGACGAGCGCGGGAAACAGCCGCAGAGTCTGGCCCTCCCGCGGCGGCGTCTCTGTGTCGTCGATGCCCCGAATACTGTACCGGTGCAAGTTTTCCAGGACGTTGAATCCGCGCATCACCCATTCAGTCAGCAGCAGTCCTTCGCCTTGACCCTCCTCGTCGACGGACAGCACGATGCGCGATCCCGTTGCCTCGTCCTCGTAGATGCCCGCGTACCTCTGCCGCGCCTCATCTCGCGCCGCCGCCTCGAGCGCCGGCACCAGCCCTTCGAAAACCCGCGACAGCAGAATCGAGGGGGCCAGCATCTCGGGCCCCGCCGTCATGATGGTGACAGCCAGTCCGAGGTCCGGCACAAGCGCCAGCGCAGAAGCGTAGTCTGCAATGTCCCCGCCCTTGGTGTACGCGTCGACAATGCGGCCCGACGGCAACAGCTCGTCGAGGCGCAGGATCTCCCACGGCGCGCCGACCGACGTGCCCCAAGCCGACGTAAACGACGTCGGCTTGAGCCAGCGGCGCGTCTGCCCCGGCGACAGGAAGCCGTGACGCAGTATGGCGCGGGCAAATGCGAGGAGGTCGTGCGTCGTGGTGAACATGCCGCCGGCCCTGGCTCGCGGTCAGTCATCTCGGGCCCGCCATGCTCGACAGATGGGAACATAAACCTACGCGTCAAAGATGCCCATGTCATCGTTCCACTCGGTGTTGTTCACGGGCACGAATATGGTCGAGACATTATCCAGCGTGCCCCCGACTGTCGTGCCGCGCATGCCCGCCGGCTCGAGGATCAGCTCGCGTATGACCTCATCGTACGGCTTGCCCGCCGCCGCCTCCACAACGAGGCCGACGAGCGAGATGCCGGCGTTGGAGTAGGCTGGCGCGTGGTTCGGCGCATAGATGGGCGGCCGTTTGCTCTTGTACGCCGCCAGCAGATCTGCGAGCGTTCTCAGTATCACAAGGGGACACGATGACTGCTCGCGTCAGAGAACACCCACCATCCTTGCTGCACGGCTCCGTCCCGCGAAAGCCCGAACACGTTGGTCTATCAGCCGGCTTGACCGGTGGCAGGCCCAGCGCCTCCCAGTCTCCAGGGAAGGTAACCATGTCGAGGAACACTGCGCCGTCAGTCTCGGCTCTGCAAACTGTGACCCTGTCTGGCAGGCGCAGGCACAGTTCCCGACGGAGGCGGAGGAATCGAACTTACTGTCCACGCCGATGCCCGACATGTGCGTCGCCAAGGCCCCAACCGTAACCTCGTCCCACGGAACGCCCCCCTCGCTACCCTCCTTCAGCTCCCCAATCCATCGCCCAACCTTGTCATCCAGATGCAGGTCGCCCCTCGCTGCCAGCATCTCCGCCCCAAGCACCGCAAAGACCTTGCTCACGCTGCCGACTCGGTACACCGTCTCGCCGTCCACGTCCCTCGCGCGGGGAGGCGAGTAGTGCACCTCGAGCATCGGCCCTCTCTCCGCATCGTCACGAGGATCGATGGCAGTCTCTACACCCACCGAGAGGGCCGTGTTGTTCCAGCCCGCCGCACGCGAGAGGAGGTCGCGGGAAAGGGCCTCAAGGGCGGCGACCATGCGGGGGTGAGAGCGCGGGGCGCGCGCTGGCGGGAACACGGGGCCCAGGGGCGGGCAGTTCCGAGGACGAGATGCGCCGGCCGGTCGTGCGGCCAGGGTCGAGAGGGTGACGGCCGTCAAGTGCAGCATGTGCATGGCGTCAGGATAGCTATGGTTCGTGAATCTTGGTGCGGCCGATTAGAGAGGGTCGCTGAGGACTATCAGCAATGACTGGACCTGTCTCAACAAGCTGCGAAAGATATCTCTGTAATGTTTCGCAGACGCGGTGACGACCTTGTAACGGAGGAGGTTGGGAAACCCAGTCTCCGTCCGCGAAGGTTCACTTTGCATGCCGCTTACACCCGCTCGCTCTTCCAATCAAGCCCCCGAGAGGAGAAATCCTTCGCTCCTATACTCGTATTCCCTTTCCCCAAATCCGGACACCGGATCTGCACGCAAAACAACGCCAAGAAAAGACGCGACGTAGATTCATCAGCTCTCTGCCCCAGGTATCTCGACTTGTGTAAAGAGCCTGAACGCCGTGCATATGATAACTCTTGACTTCCTGCCCTTCCCTCCTGCATCGTCAAGACGACTAGGTAATTACAAACACGGCAAGAAACGCAACCAAGCACAGAGCCTCAGCGTGTCATCGAAACATGGTTCTCTCCTCCCCCGCTGCCGCCTCGTCCGTGGTATAACAGGTCGTTCACCGTCGTAATCATCATCCCTTCCTCCACCGAATGCCCTTGGCCCTTCTCCTGACGCCTACCTACTTCTCCGTGTGTCCGTCGTTCAGCAGCATCTCAAGCACAATCTGCGTGCCCGCAATCTCCGGGTGGCTCATTGAAATCTTGACCGTCGACTTGCTCTCTTCGCCGAGCTGCTGTTGGCCTCCTGGCGCCTGGCTTTGACCCGGTAGCCAGCTAGTCGAGCTCACCGACGTGCCTCCGGTTGGCCCGCGTACGCCGTAGTCGAGACACTTGACATCTCGTCCAGCGATGATCTGCCGCAGACGCCCATTCTCCGCGTTCCGCACCTCGACGTAGTCCTCATTGAACAGCAGCAAGTACTGCCCGTACATGGTCGCCCCGCGCGCCTTCTTCTGCTTTCCAGAATACTCCATGATGAGCGTTCGGCTGACGTCGCCGTGCTTATCGACGTACACTGCGCAATCTTCGTACGCGAGCAGAAACTCCTGGTCGTTGAGGCGGAACATGCCCAGTGGCCGCTGGTCTCGAATACGCGTCGCAATGTTGGCAATTGCCGGCTCCCTGAGGTCCGGGATCGACATGGGCTGCTTCTTGTCCAGCGTAAGAAGCTCAAATCCCTTGGCCGTCGAGATGGCAATGTAAGACTGGAAGAGGTTGAGCGAGTAGCACTCCGTCGGCAGGTAGAACTCGTCATAGTCGCGGAACGCTTCCGTCGCGCCGCCTCCCGGTCGCCGGCCTCCGAATAACCGCGACTTCTTTTCCGAGGACTTGTGAAACACAGGTTCCAGCACCTTGAATGTGTTGTGCATACCCTCCTTGCGCTTGTAGAATACGAGCATCCGCTCCTTCATCCGTGCGCTGGCGAAGAATGCCACGTCCTTGCCCAGCCGTTGCGGCGCCCGCCGGGGGTTATCGTGCACAGGCGCTGGGAAGTTTGATACGGGTGCCACAACATCCAGCGGGTACGAGATGAGCGATCGGTCTGCAATGATCAGGCAGACCGAGAACTCCTCCAATACCGTGATCTGGGTCACCCGATTTACCTGAACAGTCTGTCACTCGTTAGCGCAGCTCAGCACAACCGTTATCATGTCAGGAGAACTCACCCTTGTCCAGCCTCGGGGATCCGTCGTATCGGAAATGTACACGCCGTAATCTGTTCCGATTGCAATGATTGATTTACCGTAGGCTGTGAAGCCGGTGGCGCAGTTGACCTGCGCTCGGCACACCGGAGCCGCGCGACCAGGCCCGTATACCTGCTCGAGCTCACGAATCGCCCGGTCCAACGGCGTGCCCCGTACCGGCACGCCGGCAGTCTTGCCAATGGCCGACACTGAGTCGTATGCGAACGAGCTGTCCGCCAGCACTCGTAGTCGGAATGGTTCCGCGTTTTGCGAGAACAGCGCCTTGGCATGCCGCGTCTTGGCCTCAATGATCTTCTGCACCCAGTCCGCCCGCTTGTCTGGCGTCGTGGCAAAGAGGGTGTAGGTTTCGTGACCAAGATGCTTGATCTTGAACGGATACAAGATCTTGTCTTTCGAGTCGTTCGAGATGGTGGGTGTTAACCTGCTCACGCTTACCGAACCAATCGACGAGCTCGTGGCTGCGTGTTCCAAGGTTGGGCGGTCACCGCCGTTACTCGTGATCTTACCAAGCCGGTTATCCGGGGTCGACCCGCCCGCCCCTCGTGCCAAAGGTGCAATACCCTTTTGCTTCGATATTGGGTCATCATTCATGCTGTCGAGGAAGAGCAGCGGCATCGGTATGGGCTGATTCATTTAGTCCAGGTTCTGTGCGACGCACTAGGTTGACTCACCTCCTTTGACACGTCAAACTTCCTGCCCCCTCTACCGTCACGAGAACTGACCGGCTTGGCCAGGATCAAGTAGTGATCGAACAGGAGCGCATGCGTGTCCACCCATCGCACACCCTTGTGTCCCATTCTTGTCAGTTCGCCCTGCAAGATGAGCTCACGGCCGAGGTGGTCGAGGTTCAAGACGGAATGGAAACCTGGGCGCAATACCAGCATTGCGTTCAGCTCCATCATCTCAACCTTCTTCTGCATCTCTGCCACCTTCTGGTCACATTCGAGCGTGACATTGTGGATTTCCGAAATGGCTTTCGCCAGGTTTGCCTTCTCCTCGCTGTCGACAAGCATGTTCTTCTCAACGGTTTGTAGCAAGAATGTGTAACGTTGCAACCGCGTGATGGGTGTCTTGAGGAAATGCGTCCAGTCTAGCCTGGTTGAGCGTTTGTGGCCGCGCACTTCGTCCAGAAACTTGGCAAAGATGATATTACGATCCTTTTCCCTGCGCACAAGGTATGAAGCATGCGGATACTGAGAGGCGTAGTCGATGTAGACGTCGCGAGCTTTGCGGATCCACTCGCGGAACAGGTCGCTGAAGCCCACGATCCACGGACCTTGCTCTTGCTGCCGGTACTTGAGCTGCGCCAGCAGGTTCTCCTTGTTGGCGTCGAGCACAGCGTCAACCTTACCAAAGACCACAGCGACGAACTTATCGACTCGGTTGGGCGCAATAATGGGGCTCGGCGCGTGCTGGATCTGGTCCCTGTAGAGAACCCGCAAGACCTCTAGTTGGTTCATGTAGGTTTCCTCACTGGTGACAATCTCGTGCAGTACGTTTTGTCGCTCGACCTCCTTCTTCGGCTTACCCTCGACCATTTCTTTGGTAACCTTGAAGAATTCGGCCCATCCCTCGACCTTTGTCTCATCCAGCATGAGGTCGTCGAGATTCGCCTTCTTCAGCGTCCTCATGCAGTGATAGGAGTAACAGCGACCGGGCGCCTCGTTCTCGTGAAGCTTTGAGGCGTAACAGCCAGACCCAGTAAGTTGCCATAACACGCCAGAAACGGTGCCTGGCCCAAATTTGACCCATTCTTCCTCGGGAATCAGGATTTGTGCGTCCAGCAGCAACTCCACGACCGTTGTTGACAGCACCTCGGCGTCGGCCACATTAATGGTCGGCACCTTAACAGTGAACAGGGCGACAAGGGCTTCTTCAACCGTTTTCTGCTTGAGATCAGGCTCCCCATCAGCCATCTCGCGGATCCATGCAGCGATGCCGCTGAGGGCCCAGGGCTCGGTGCATATACCGAAATCTGCAGCAGTGAGCTTCCCAGGCACGAACTTTCTCCGCCTCCCGCTTGGCAGCGTGATCATGTCAAATGTCATGGATGACGGCGTCCCTGACTCGTAGCCCTCTTGGGGATTGCCGTGGTTCGCCGTCAAGTACTGCTGCTGTTGCTGCTGCGTCATCTGCTTGAACAACTTGCGCCGCTCCTCGGCCGCATCAGTGCGCGAGCGCGCTGGAGCATGAACCTGAGGTGTGTTGCTATGGCTCGATAAGGAGATGGACCGTTCCGGATAGGGAGATGCCGAGCCTGAAGCTCCATAGTAAGCCTCGGGACCTTCTGGCGGGTACATGTGGCGTGAGTCGACGCTGAGTGAATGCCCATGAGTATGCCGGTGGCTGACCGATCCCTGGGGGGAGAGCATAGAACCGCTGTCGCTACTTGGGGCCGGAGGGAGAGCTGGCAGCGGTCGATTCGTGAGACCAGGATGATAGAAAATATCAGGATATTCCTCTTTGTTGGGCGAGTCATTGGTGCTCTGTCTAGAATGCAGGGATACACGCTCATCGCCTTCGTCAAAGCTTAATCGGTGAGCGGTGGGCGGCTGCAAGCCGCCAGTGTCACCGTAGTCCACGCCAGCGTCCTTGAAAGCCGGCGCGCCCTCATACGCATCATAAGAGGGCTGGGGATAGGTTGCGGGGTCCGGCAGCGGCCTCTGGGTGTTTTCGTCCTGGTCTGCAGGCGGAGAAGCAACGCTGTTTCCATACGCAAGATTACCGGCATATCCACCGCTGAACAAGCCAAGATCCATTCCACCGTAGTCGGTATCACTGCTTTGTTCTTCCGCAGGTGGTGGGAGGGTGTTCATGGTGCTGACAGTACTGACAGGAACTGGCTCCGTGTACGGGTACGGACCCGGCCCTCCTGCTGCGGTGCTGAATCTGCGGTCGTCCATCTCCGCTTGCTGCATGGCTAATACACCGGCGGTGCCTTCTGGGTCGTCGTCGTCGTCGTCGTAGTCGAACGTAGATGAGGCGTTGTCCCTCGGGTTTGTGGATGCGTTTGATGAAAAACGACTGACATTGGACGAGTCTGTAGGATTAAGCGTTGTCGAGCTTGTGGTGTAGCGTCGCAATTGTTGCAGCTCGTCGTCGGAGAACTGACCGCCATTCACCGGGGCAGGTCTATGGCGGTTGATACTACCCAGCTCTGCCTCGATATCGTGCATGATATCTTCTTGGTAGCGCGCTTGGTCGTTCTCGTGCCGCCTCTCATCCGGCTCCCAAGTGGCCTCTTCGGAAACGTAGTCCATGGGTCTGCTTGGCAGGGGCGCATGCGTGGGGTGTCGCTGCAGGCCAGGAGAGTGAATTTGGGGTGAATGGAGGGGCGACGTTGATGAATTAGATCTAGATGTCCGGGTATAAAATGATGACGGATCGGCTGAGTACGCTGGGCCAACAGGAATGTGAGATTGGAGGGGATAGGGTGCCTGTGATGTGCCGGTCGGGTACGGAGCAGGCGCGGGGTTGTTCCCGTTGGACGTATAGTTTCCGTAGTTGTTGCCGTATGACTGGTTGTAGGAGGGATCATAGGATGGCGTTTGCGACGTGGTCGACGCATTCGAGCTGAAGCCGGGGCTTGGCAGCGGTTGATCATGGCGAGCTGGCACCTGAGCGCTCTGGGGGAAGGACTGGTTGTAGGTAGAGGCAGGCGACATGCCGTAGGTCGGGGCCTGGGGAATGGTCGGAGAGGTGTAGCCTTGGTTGTAGTTGTTGCTGTTGTTGTAGCCATGCTGGGTGGGTGCGCGCTGGGGGCTTGTGGCACTGGCATAAGCCGCGGGGTTGTAGGCTGCTGGCGTGTAGTTGGTTGGTGAGGCAGCGGTATTGGACCCGGCACTGGTCGAGCTATAACGCTGAACAGGGGGCTGAGGATGATAAGGCAGCGACGTGGATTGCGATCGCGCAAAGTGCTGAGGGTTGTAGGTCGAGTGAGAGGGAGTCGGCGGTGCGGCGGCCTGGAACTGGTGCTGGTAGCCTGACATGGCGCTGTTGGCGGAGCCATAGCTCGGTCGGTTCGCAGAGGGGTCGGTTGGGCTGGTGAGGAAGAGCTCATCTCGGCCTCTAACGGATGGAGCGCTCGCGTCTGGGTAGCCCTGGGGAGTCGCTTGGTCCTGACCTTGGTCGAAGAAGGAGGAATCGTCGCCGTTGTTGAAGCTAGGTCGCCGCGCCGGGTAGGAGGATTGGTCCTGGGCCTGGTCGGCTACAGGATATTGCACTGGGGGCACATGGCCGTAGCGGCGCTGGCCATCGCTTCGGAAAGACATGGTCGCAAGTCAGTCAACTCCCGGGGCAGCGGTGTTGCCTGTCAATGTGGCCGAACGAGCGTCGCGGGCTAGCGGTGATGATTGTACGCCGAGATTGGCAGGCCGCGTGCGCAGGCCAGTATGGAGGTTGTCGTTCGAGTCGGGGAGGCAATTCAGGACGCCATGCACAGTGATTCTCGCGTTGGGGTCGCTAGGTAGGGCGATGGGCGTTTGATTGATGTTGGGTTCGGCGGGTGAGAGAGGTCGGTCTGCGCGCGCGCCGGTTGTGTCGCTTCTCTCGAGCTGCGGGTTCGGACAGTTTACGAGAGAATCAGGTTGTGGAGAACAGGGAAACGAATCTGCTTGGCAAAGAATGACCCAGCTGTCAGCCTTAGCAGGCGAGGTCGAGAGGTCGAAGGGTCGAGTGGTTGGGCATACGAGGGGGGAAACAGTGGACAAGCGGCTCAGGGTTCAGTGGTGTGCGCCGGAGTAGTTGGGTGCCCTGGAAGGTGGCCCTGGATCGGAAAGCCAAGCCACAGCGACGGGGCTGGCCAAACGAGCGTTACCAGAAGATGAGCGGGGTGTTTGCTCGTTGGTGGTGGTGTCGGCGTTTGGCACCCCCGAGCACGAGAGCAGCTAGGCGGATGATGCGGAGGGTAGAGCGCAAAAGGTAGGTCAGAGCACAGCACTGGATGGGGTGTCGAGGTAGCACGAGTCGGTCGCAGGCGGTGGTGATGGCGGTGGCGGCGCAGACAGGTGATGTAGATGACCGCAGTCGTTTCTCGCAATGCTATGCTAGTCTTGGTAGTGCGCAGCACGGGCTGCCTCGGGTCTCAAACAGCGCAAGATGGTAGACCATTCAATGATGGAATGTCAGGGTACAGCCTGATGGGCTAGTCTCGGGTCATGAAGAGGTAGCTTTTGCGGGGATGAATTAGGTTGGCTGAAAAGCCGGCGGGTCGTTCGTTAATATCGGACTGTCGCTAAGGCCAAATTCAGGTATCAATTTAGATCGCAATGACGCTGATTGTCCCAACCAACACTCGAGCCATCCATCGGCTGTGCTGGCAATGGGGGGATGCAGGATTGCGAAAACAACCAAAAGAAAGCAAGATGCAGGATGCAAGATGCAAGATGTGAGATGCAGAAACCAGAGCACGAGTGGCAACTCAGGTTGACGATGGCCTTGCCCTTGCCCTTGGCTCCATGGTCCCGAGGCAAGCACCACGAATGATCCTGCCTCCCGTCTGTCGAGAAAGCCTCAACCGAACAAAGTCAGGAGCGACAGACCAGATCAGCCAGGAGCCAAGACCCCACCAGCCTCAGCGTGCGGCTGTGGCTGGGCGGTGCCTGCCCGCCCGCCGTGGCTCACACACCGATCATGGATCATGGGCAAGGCCGTCCATTCCAAGGCCTGGCTTCTCCAGCTGACAGGACTCGATCGGAGGCCTGGCGCCTCTAGTGGCTGGCGTCACATGCTCCTACGTACGCAGTGTCCTTGATGCTCCAAAACTGACTGCTACCCAGATAGTTCGCGTTCCCATTCCCATTGGAATGCCTTCGCATGCTGCGTTCCGCATCTTCAAACACAAGGCGACGTTCTGCACATGCCTGTCCTTTCGGTAACGTCGTTTGGCGACGGGCACCATGCCAGACTTGACCAACCCTGACTATCAAACGACCTTGTCACATAACGAGAACTAGCCCAGGCCACCAGCCCCTGTTCGCCGATGGCCCCTCACAATACGGATTGGTTCTCGTATGTAAACCCGAATCACAACTCGCTATTCGGAAGGGTCTTTTCCAAACCTTTCCCCCCTGAAAACGACAACCTCAATCCAGCAACGGCAAGGCCTCACTGGTTCCTCATTCGAAATGCCGGTTTTCCTCCAGCCCCTCTGAAGCGACGCTCATGAACGGCAACCCCGGCGGCCGTTTCGTTTCCTCCCTCACACGAGCGGCCGGGTTCGACGCCGCGTCGCAATAGAACTCGTGTTAAGATCGCCTTGTTTCGTCCACCATGCGTGCCATGCGTTCGTGGTACTAGCCGGCTGCCGGCCTCGCCTGCAAGCCAACCATCAGCGGCAGCTGTCAGCCCTCCCTCTCCGTAGCCCGTCCAATCCTGGAGTTTGATTTGTAGGATGCAACATGATGTGTGGTGTGTGCCGGGCACATCAGTCAATGGAAGTAGTCATGCCGAACTGGTGAGGAAGGCATCCGAAGCGGCTCCTAATCTTCGCGGTGCGTTAGCGGTTCCGTGCGGGCTGCTTATAGGGCTGATGCTGCAATTTGTATCACAATGATGACGAAGTTCTCATGTCAGATTGAACGTGAAGCCTGGCTGTAACTCTGGAATGAATTTCGAGGCTGGGTCCCACAGCGGAATGAGCCTGGTGTGTATGTTTGCGGCTTCACCTTTATGACGAAGTCAACGTTCACTATGCATTTGAGTAGTTGTTACCTAGCCAATTGATTTTGATGTTTTGTTTGCGAGGGTTTGTATTCCCACTTCAACCCTGCTCTTTGAAAGCGTCGGTTCTGCATCAAGCCACCCACTCTAAGAACAACATTGTATCGCCAGAAACAGGTACAATGCATAATAGCATAGCAGAACAATACTCAACATTGAAAGTCTTCTTCGTTGCCAGAGAATATGCAATATCAGTCACGTATGGGCTTTCAGCGCTCGCGTAATCACCAGTGTTGTATCTTCAACACAGTTCACTGAAAACGCGATTGGGCGTCCCAAGGACACCCCACCTCGCCCTCCGATGGTCGGGCGAAAGCCGTGGCAACGCACACTGGTCCGGCACTAACCGTCGGCCCCCCAATGGCCGGGGGTTTTCCTATGACGGCACTCGTGCTTAAGATGAAGGCCGACATTGGTAAGCATACCGTCCACGGACGGGCTTGTGAATGTACCAAGCCAGACTGGTCAAGCAGACTGGTCAAGCAGACTGGTCAAGCAGACTGGTCAAGCAGACTGGTCAAGCTGGCAGAAGAGGAAGCTCTGAAGCTCGCGAAAGCGGGGCCAACCGCAGTACGTGCTTGTACTGGCGCTGTGATGGGCGAGCTTTCCGTGCTCGGATCTCCGACACTCGCTGGAATGATGCTGGTATTCCGAATTGAGGCAGCGACGGGCGTTCCGCCGTGTGGGAGCACTGGGAGGGTCAGAAGAAGAGAAACGTGGTGAGGGGCAGAGGGAAGAGGGCAGACTGCCGAAGGGTGTCGTCAGAGATGATGCTCCATAATAACGCCCCTCCCCAGGGCCCCCCATTCTCCAGCTACCTAGACTTAACTCTTGCTCTCCCCCCTCTTCATCTGTTGCGTCGCATACAAAGTTCTTTGAGCATCAACAGAGTCGATTCCAAACCAAACAACAAACCCCCAAAAGAAACAAGAAAACAACCGTCAAAATGGTCAAGGCTGGTAAGCAGGCGATCTCCCCCACCCTTTATAGCCCCGCGTTCCCGCCCGAGCTCCCAATTTCTGGGTCACGCTGTCGGAATGGAGGGGTCACGGCCACCCAAGCTGCGCTGGATTGAGCGAGTTTCTCGAGGAGAGGAGCTGTCGCAGCACCCTGATGGGCGCACCTCGCGTGTCTTGCCTTGTCTTCCCCGGAGAGCCGCGTCGATCGAGTGCGTGGCTCGTAGCCAATCCAGACGAGACCCTTTCCTTCCCTTGTCGTTGTTGTCGTGCCATCAAGGTCCCGCGT